AATAAAAGCTAAGGAAGAAAACAAAACAAATATTTACAGCCTCACTCTTCAAGTTTCAACCTCAACTTCTAGCTTATTAAATCTCTTAAGCTTGTCTAACCTAATCTTTCCTAAAACGTAGTATGTATATTAACAATCTTAACCTACAAGTCTCTAAGTTAACCTACTAATTCTAACTATTGGGCTTAACAGTATAATGAGGCCCAAACATCAATTGTTAGCCTTAAAATTGTCATTCCTATAATAATATGCCTAATCATATTCCAATGCAATTTTCTTTATCTTCAAAGCAAAATTGGGCAAATGATCTTTTGAAAGTTGTAGCTTCGTCTTTTAACTTTCCAATGGTCTAAGAATCATATTATTTAGAGTTCTATAGGGTTAGTTATGGTCAAAACACTGAAGCTCATACAAGCAAACTTCCGACTCTTTCAACACTTTACTTTCCAAAATTAAGCCCAATTCTTTTAATTCTTTCAAAAATATAAAAATTAATAAATAATAACTAAATTAAAGAAAATAAACATATAATTAAATAACTCACTTTAAAATAAACTAATTATAAAAATAACTAAAAAAACTAAATTATAATTGAAAATTAAAGACTTAGCTAATATTTATTAACAAAATTAGAGTAAAATAATTTTATAAAATAGAATTATCAAATAGCTTGATGAAGAACAAGGAAAAAAGTGAATACTTGAACATTTGACTTATTAATTAGTGAATGATCTCCTGCCTAAAGAGTAAGATACGAATCTCCCTTCCTTCAATTGAAAAAAAGTGAATTGATTTGGAGAAATTATTTTTATTTAATTAATTATTAAAATCTTTTTAATATTTACTATTAATTTCTTGAAATGTTTTGTTTACCTCATGGTGCCGAGAGTTGATTATTGACAATGTACAATGTATAATTATAAACTGTCACTGTACCAAATATAAATCCTAATAAATATTCCTCCCTTTCTATTATGGTGGAATGATTATTTCATTCTAATCCATATCTTCACGTCATGTACCTTGTTGTCTGTAGCCTAGGGTTGTCAATGGGTAAGGTACTCGTACATTCTCACTACCCTATATTAATCCTAATCCGTTTAAAAACCTAATTAGATAAAAAAATTATTAAAATATTTTTTATGGATATTCGATTACACGAACCCGATTCCATATCTATATACAATAATATTTTCCCTACATATTTCATATAATTAACTATTAATTAAATTAATAAAAACACAAAGAATAAAATTTAAATTTAAATAATCAAAAACTTTAAAGTGTGTTTATAAAAGAACATAATGTATAATACAAATCAATATTATTTTATTATTTAGTAA